AGATCGTGCGTGTCGAGTGCGCGAAATGCAGGCGAGAGTGCGATTTGTCCGGTGCCCCCGCAACCCTCTGCGGAGATCGTGCGTGTCGAGCGCGCGAAATGCAGGCGAGCACTGGCGACTTTGTAGTACAACTTGAGTACGCGGAGCAATCTGTGGAGCTGGAAGCTGAGAACTGGCGACCTTGTAGTGCAACTGTAGTACGCGGAGTATCTGGGGAGCTGGAAGCTGAGAACTGGCGACCTTGTAGTACAACTTTAGTACGCGGAGTATCTGGGGAGCTGGAAGAGAGTCCCACAAGAGTGTCCCAACAGTGTCCCGCTAGAGTGTCTCACAAGAGTGTCCCTTAAGAGTGTCCTACAGGAGTATCCCACAAGAGTGTCCTACAAGAGTGTCCCACAAGAGTGTCCCACAAGACTGTCCCACAAGAGTATCCTACGAGAGTGTCCCACAAGAGAGTCCCACAAGAGTGTCCCACAGAGTGTCCCACAAGAGTGTCCCACAAGAGTTTCCTACAAGAGTGACCCACAAGAGTGTCCCACAAGAGTGTCCTACAAGAGTGTCCCACAAGAGTGTCCCACAAGAGTGTCCTATAAGAGTGTCCCACAAGAGTGTCCTACAAGAGTGTCCCACAAGAGTTTCCTACAAGAGTGTCGCACAAGAGTGTCCCACAAGAGTGTCCTGTCCTACAAGAGTGTCCCACAAGAGTGTCCCACAAGAGTGTCCGACAAGACTGTCCCACAAGAGTGTTCTACAAGAGTGTCCCACAAGAGTGTCCCACAAGAGTGTCCCACAAGAGTGTCCCGCAACAGTGTCGCTCAAGAGTGTCTCACAAGAGTGTCCCACAAGAGTGTCTCACAAGAGTGTCCCACAAGAGTGTCCTACAAGAGTGTCGCACAAGAGTGTCCCACAAGAGTGTCCCACAAGAGTGTCCTACAAGAGTGTCCCACAAGAGTGTCCCACAAGAGTGTCCCACAAGAGTGTCCTACAAGAGTGTCTCACAAGAGTGTCCCACAAGAGTGTCCTACAAGAGTGTCGCACAAGAGTGTCCCACAAGAGTGTCC